AGAAAATTGACATTGTGCAATTGGGGGTTAGAAATGTAAAAATAACAAAATATACAGGATGTTTGGATAAGAAACTAGTGTGATGAATGATTGTTTATGCAATCAGGGATTAAATATGTAGAATTACATACTACATATTTAATATCTACATATTTAATCCCTGATTGCATAAACAATCATTCATCACACTAGTTTCTTATCCAAACATCCTGTATATTTTGTTATTTTTACATTTCTAACCCCCAATTGCACAATGTCAATTTTCTTAGTTATTATGCTACTTTGTTTGAGTTTTACCCATCCCCCTGTTTATTATGGCATTCTAATTCCTAACTGTAATTTTTATTAATTTGACCCCTAACCAGAAATTATTCTGGAACTTTCCCATCCATTTGATATAAATACACGAATGTACAGCCTAGATGATGACTTCGTCGAAAAGAAAATTTTCTTCGCTGCAATTGTCTTTTTATTCCCTATGATCAAATGTGTATATTCCGTGATTTCTAAATAAAAACCTTGTTTTTCCTTATGAACAAACAGGTATATTTAGTGGTATTAATTCGTAACTTCAAAAACGCCTAACTGAGCTAAACATCTTCGCCACTGTTTCGAACATGAGGATTTTTTCATCCCTTTTAAGAATTCAAGATATTTCTTATTCCCTTACGTTTCGATTGAAACATAGCGCTTCAATCTAAAGCTTTGGAGTTCCCGTAACATTAGTGTTTATTTTCTCTGACAGTCGTTCTTTATGCTGCGGTGTGCAGAAGATTTCCAAACTCATCAGGGATCAAACCCAGAACCTTCAGTCTACAAGGCAGGCAATATTGTGTAGACCAGACACTTGACCACTTAGAGTTTGGCAGTCAAAAGACTCCTAATCGATCCATTGTGCTTACACTTAACAGGCATGATATGATATTGACCAGCTCTGTCTAGTATGCGTTTTTTGGAAAGTTTCTTCTATAAACAAAATTTCCCAGTGTTGTCACATGTATGTCGACATGAAACATCTCGCCTACACTGATATTAGCTTACTTAGTGGAGAATACCTGAAGTGACTAAATGAATCAGTCGCTTTAATCACCTTGAAAATTTTGGTATGTGGTTAATCCTAATACAGGCAGAAATCATGAAGTACTGTTATATCCATCAAAGAGTAAGTAGACAACGCCGTAGAAATCTCTACTTTAGTCTGCTGTCATGCAACACAGTAGTTTAATAATAATAATGATTTACTTTACTCCAAAAACGGTACTTGCATCTAATTTCGTCAAATTATAAATAAAATTAATCACACAGAAAATTTTCCACATTTACAATAGGGGTAATCTCAAAAAAAGCATGCAGCATATAAAATGGAAATAATAATGACAATGATAACAGCTTAGGTAATAATAATAATAATATAAGTGAAAATTGCCGTGGGCTTGTTTCACACAGTATTGTCGATGCGGTATAGAAATCCTAGCATGCTTAAAAATATTGAATATAATGTTCTCTTTAAATGATATGGTGAGGGGAAAAAACAAAGATTACAGCAGTTATAGAGATAAGTTGGTGTTTGCAATTATGAAAGTAAAACAAAGAAGCAACATGACCATAAATATCATAGAAATAATAAAAGTAAAACTTGAAGGTATATAAGGATAGATGGAGGAGATTGTTTATTGACTAGATGAAACTATTTTCATCACATAAAATACGTGCCAAGTATGGTTGGTATCGTGGAATTTTTATACTTAGATGTGTGAGCATACAGTTTTCTGAAGTTACTTCTTGTTCTACCTGAGGAGATGCAAGGTGAAAGCTGAGGGTGAAGTGGATGCTCCAAGTCAGACAAAATCCCTTTAGCAAATTTACTGCACGAAGTCAAATGCCTATCGACAACGACGTTAACTATGTAGTCCACTGGGACACCACTCATCCTACTGACAGTCTTCAGCATTCTACGAATTGTGACATAGGTCTTTTTAAGCAAACCAGGAAAGAATAAGGGTGAACAATAAAGAAGAATAGGTAGGATGCAAGAGTTTATGAACTGTAAGAGGAGGGGTTGAGCTATACCCGAGTGCCTTAACTTCTTAATGTAAAATGTCAGGCGGAATATTTTACTGGAGATCGCTGAGACATGGGAAGATCAGGAGGGATCAGAAGGGAGAATAAGTCCAAGAAACTTAATTTTTGACTTAATTCCTATATCATATTCGTCAATCTTATAACTGCCATGAGAATCGACTACTTCTTTTAACTGCCTTTTACATCTTAAGCTGAAATTAACAGTTTGACATTTAGAAGGATTCAGTTTAAAACCGTTAGACTCAGACCATTTACTGACTCCCGACAGAAAGTTATTTCAGGATTTTCATCATGAGCTGACATTAGTTAGAAAACCATTGGAAAACCTGGGAGTACTGGACAGTCGTTTCGTCCTAGTTTGGGACTCTTCAGCAGTACGCACCCACCGACCACGGTTCGAACCCAGGATCTTCTAGTTACAAGGCGAGCTCGTATACCATTAAGCCACTGGGACGCGATCCAATGGCCCATGAATTCTGACTTCTATTTATTTTGGTACAATCTAGCTGCGGTTAACAGCCATTGAAACTGTTAAATCATCGGCATACTTCACACAAAGTTTATTTATATTTTATGGTTAAGATATATTCTTTGCATATATTAGGAAATGCATATGTGTGTGTGAAGAAACAACATTCAGATTCGGTGAAGAACTCTAAGAAAGGAAGTCAACCGATAGAGATGTAAGTTTCATGCAAATATGACATACAAATGCTCAGTGTTCCATTATTGTTTATTGTTGTTCAAGCATTATTGACTAATTAACAATATTTCAGTGTAGCAAAAATATCCATTCAGACATCTATAAAACACAAAATAATCGAGCAAAGAATATCCTTTTCGATAAATTCCTCCTCTTCTGGCTCTACAATTATATATGCATGTTTATACACATTATTATTATTGTTCCCTTGGGTTCCTAGTGGAACATAGGGCTTCAACTACACGTCTCCACTTGCTTCTGTCTTCTGCTGTACTTTTCACCTGCATACATGTTAGTCCATACTGTTTCAACTCCTCTTCACACGATCTACTCCATGTCATCCTAGCATTGACAACCCACTCGCTGCTTCCTTTTCAGGTTCCACTCGAGTTATGGCCTCACGCGCGATGTCACCCAGCAGCCTCCTCAGCTCAGCGAGTGTCCAATCCATCTCCACTTTCTCCTGCATATTTGTTGGGCGATTGCTTCTTGTTTTGTTTGTTCCCATAGTTGTTTCTTGTTGGTGATTCTTTCCAGCCATCTGATCTTCAGTATGGAGCCAGCGAAGACAGTTGTTGATAAAGGTCTGTCTGTAACAGGCTGTTGGAAATATTCTTTGTGACACACTGGCCAAGTTTCTGATCCATCCGTATAGGAGAACTGGCTGACTTGACGTCGTTTGTATTGAAAATCCGAATCATTTTGTTATTGATGCTGAGTTGAGTGACGAAGATTTCCAGATTGGTTTCAGGTTGATGAATGTGTTTCTCGCCTTCCCGATTCTCGATTTGACATCCTCGTCCGTTCCACCTGCCTGTAGTTGAGACAATGCTCCCTAGGTGAGTGAATGAAGTAACCTCTTTTAAACCCCGCCCATTGATGGTGATTGGCGCTGGATGTTGCAGTTGTTATTGTTGTTGCTGGTTGGCTATTTTCATGACCTCCGTCTTGTCTATGTTCACCTGGAGTCCTGTCTTTGCTGTTTCTTCGACCAGTTTGTTGGTTTTTGTTTGTAAGTCTTCGATTTGTGTGACATCAAACATAAATCATCCGCGAAATCCATAGAATGGCACAATAAGAAGAAGTGTATATAGAAAACCTACATCAACTGGTCAGTATGCACATTTTTTCAGCTTCGTGTCCTTGAAATACAGGCGCAGTATGATAAAGTGCTTGGTCCACCACATAGCAAGAGCAATTTGCTCGGACGAATGTCTTGATGACGCACGTAACAATATTAAACGGTTGCTGAGTGAAAATGGTTATCCCGAAAAGTTTATTGATAAGAATATGAATCTAAAAACAAAGCAGCCCAAGTTACCAACAGTTCCTAAAAAGCCGTTATTCTTACAAATGCAGTTCCTTGGAGACAACACCAGTGAGATAGTAACACAGCGCCTTAGTAATGCGGCAAAAAGAGCATTCCCTGCTGCCGAATTACGCTGTATCTTTGAAAACACTCCTCTTTTGCGTTCTGGAGTAAAAGATAAACTGCCTAATTTCGCCTCTTCCATGTGTATCTACAAATTGAACTGCTCCTGTGGAGCCAGTTAGTTGCATAGGCCATACAATTAGGCGTGTCGCTAGTCGAATTTCCGAACATCACCCTGCATAGTGGTTAAATAAAGGACAGACAAAATCTATTCGCAGCGCTATTCTATCCCACTCATCTTGTGGATGCAACAGAACACAAGATTGATGTTAACCATGCTTTCAGGGTCATTTACCGCATACCAACAAATCTGAGCTTCGCCTTGAGAGTTCGACTACTAAATATTGCTGAGGCTGGCTGCTGGGATCTACATTAAGAAGCCTAATTTATGTATCCAAAAGAAGTTAGTTGGTTCAGACATTGTCTTTACCTTGGTCATCTAGGTTTGAATTATCCTGAATTTTTGTGGAATTTTCCTAATTTTAGTTGATATTCTATTTGCTACTATATCTTTATTGTTATTATAATTTAAGCATCTTTAATGAACTGTAATTCCATTGTGATCTTACTTTACAAATCGATATTATTTAAAACACACCAATATTGTAATTGAATACTATTCTAGGATATTCTATGTATATAAACATGCATATATAATTGTAGAGCCAGAAGAGGAGGAAATTATCGAAAAGAATATTCTTTGCTCGATTATTCTGTGTTTTAACAATATTTATTGAATAGCTGTGATCAAAAAACAACAATTAAATATTCATTGAAACTCACCAGGTGTAAATCATCCACTACAGCTGGACTTTGACGGCCCAAAACAATAAACTGGATAACAATCGGGTGTACAAGATAAACAGTGAATGTTATACGTGCAGGAAGACGGAATACAGAGGATGTAAGCAGCGAATGAATTGGCCCTATATATTAATTAATATGTCAATCGGTAGAAAATACATTAAATGAACGGTCAGTCTTCAAACAGTAGAATAAAAAGGAATTAATTAAATCAATAAAAACATGATTGCATAACTAAGCAAGACAAGCTTTCATTTCTCTGAAATCTGTTTGGCGGTCAACAGCACTCAGCATCAAAAATAAGATCCGGATTTTCAACTCCAATGTGAAGTCAGTCAGTGCTACTACACGGATAAGAGACTTGACATGTCATAAAGAGCATCTCAAACAAACTACATACCTTCATTAACAGTTGTCTTTGCTCAATACTCCTCAAGATCAGATGGCCAGAAAAGATCACCAACAGAGATCTCTGGCAATGAGCGAACCAACTCAGCAGGAACCGATTGTGAAACAAATAGGCAGGAAGAAATGGAGATGGATTGATTGGCCATACTCTGAGGAAACCATCAAGTGACATCACTAGACAAGCCATTGCTCGAGTGGAACCCGAAAGGGAAGCGGCGAGTTGGTCGTCAGTGCGAGGGTGGGTGACTTGAAGGAGGTGATGTGAAGAGGAGATGAAAGCGTGTGGGCAGACTTGGAGCCAGGTGAAGACTCTAGCAGAGAACCGAACGCATTGGAGATGCGTGGCTAAAGCCCTGTGTTCCTCTAGGAATTAAAGGAAATAATAATAACTAACAGTAGCTCGAACTGATTGTTCTAAGCAATTTGCGTTACAAAGTATCAGTTTAAGGTTAGAAGCTCTGTCCCTACTTAATAATCGTGTTTCGAAGTATTGGTTTGCAGAGATATGATTGATTTCAAGGTATATATTATTATTATTTCCTTTAATTCCTAGAGGAACACAGGGCTTTAGCCACGCATCTCCATTGCGTTCGGTTCTCTGCTGTAGTTTTCACTTGGCTCCAAGTCTGTCCACACGCTTTCAATTCCTCTTCACATGATCTCCTCCAGGTCACCAAGGTATATGATGAACTAATATCACTTAGGGGACTGCTGGAAATCAGAGACTTCTGAACATCTATTTTGTCCTGGTTTAGGACTCTTCAGCAATCCGCAGACATGACTCCATATTGAACTGAACTCAGGATCCTCTCGTTCTAGGACTGAAACATTCGTCAATCAGCCACTTAGATGACGTCCGGTAGTGTGCGAAAATGTCACACATAGCTTGATCTCCAGCCAGCATCATCGGAGAGTCTTCGGCCCAATACCTGTTGGACATCACTTCTCACTGGAGCTCCAGACAACGTGTTCCTGCAGTTAGTAACTGGTGAGAAATATAATAATATTCAAGGGTCATTTTGCATGGACTTGATTAATTTCAACTGGCGTCACGAATTATGTACCAGAAGGTTCCCTGTGAAGGAGCCCAACACCATCGGGACAACTAATATTTTCTGAATACTAATATTAATGTTGACTTAATATTTGTCATAATCTTTAATCCAATGCCTTAAATCCTCGACAAATTGGCAATTATTCAAATGATCTGTCGTCAAGATTTGACAGAATAGTTCTAAAATATTTGGGCGCCGAGTGAGAAGTAGACATTTGTAAAAAATTATATTTGTAAAATCTCAGCGAGATTGAAATGAGTAATTTTTACAAATGTCTACTTCTCACTCGGCGCCCAAATATTTTAGAACTATTCTGTCAAATCTTGACGACAGTTCATTCGAATTATTTTGTAATCGAATTAAATTAACAAAAAAACTGTGTAATTGGCACAATCATGGTGTTTTCACTCTCCGTTGGCTGCAACAGAATGCATATCCAAAATCCGTAGCTGTCGAGTCACCTGACAACTCCAGTAGGTCGAATAAAGCAGCTCAATACTCAGAAAGAAGACAAAGCAATAAGTCAGACAGGGTGCTTCTGCTAAACTCTAATCCTAAACACCATAATTTTGAAAATACGTCTAATCATAAAATTCTAGATATACTAACAGTTTGAACAGACATGAAGGCGTGGTGTTAGCTGATGCATAGGAAATCCTCATTAATAAATAAAAAATGGATATGTATCACGAATTATTAATACTTGGTCAAAATTCCTGACTATCTATATCTTCTTATGGAGACGCTAAGAAATGTTTTACAACTGTTCACCCACACACACATACACACTCTGTTTAAAGTGTTTAACAAAGGTAGACCAATATTTGTAAGTCCGAGATCAAATTTTGATCACAGCTCATACAATTTTGTTTATTATACTTGTTGATACTTGTTGAATGACCCATGATTGGAGAAAGTTTTTAAAAACAAGAGATGTGCCTTTTATATATAAACCTCTGTTATGTTAATTTCGATTAATCTCCCTGAAGAAGTTCGGACCAGTTTGCCGAACGCAGGAAACGTTGGAATTACTCATTTCAATCTCGCTGAGATTTTACACATATAATTTTTACAAATAGGCAATTAATTGTGAGTAATTCCACAAAAGGCAAAGTATATTTAACTTACCACCACAGCCAAGTGCACACATTGCTACAACAATTGCTACACCGAGAATAAACACTGGTCGATGAAATGCTGTGTATGCTGCAGCTTCTGAAGTTGTAAATGGTGGAACTTTCCCGCTTAACAATCCATACAGGCCATAAACAGTAGATACGCATAGTATTGATGAAATACAAACACCCGCTGAGAAGAGAAGAACTTTGTACTTTCGAGATACAGACTACCAAAAAAACAAAAAAAATGTGTGGAAAGAGTTAATCCCAATAAATTTGCAATAAAAGACACATTGGAATGAATTATAAAGCCTATAGATAACCTGTTTTATGTTGACATAAAGCAGTTATCTTTTGATTGCACACTAGTCAGTAACTAGTGTAATGTGTCTAGTCCTATCTTCGCTGCAGACTGAATTCTATCAGTCAAGCTTGCAATGTGGCCACCATGCTAGGTGGCTCGCCATTATGGTGCACTGAATAGCTCAGTGGTAACGTCTCTGACTGCAGCACTGGGTGACGTGGGTTCGAATCTCATAAGGGATATGAGTTCCTTCAAGGTTGCAGATGCACCTTACTGATGAGTGCCAACTAGCACGAAACCTAGGTCCAAGGCATCCTGCCGATTGCCTCCAACCATCTATTACCAATAAAGCAGTTATCTATCATACTTAGTAACAAACACCTAGTTGGTGCACAGAGAAATAAGTTTATAGTACCCAGCAGCCAAGAAACTACTCTCCAGCAGATATGTAGAAAGATGTGGAGGTGGATTAGACCCACTCTGAGGTGACTCTTAGAAGACGAATTCAGTCAGGTCCTCGAGTATAATCCAAATAGGGAGAGAGTTGGGTGTCGGTCGGAGGGTGATATGGGATAATCGTTTGGAAAGGAAATGAAACGACTTTCAGCAGTCATCCAGTCGGCTGAAAATGATGGTAGGGGGCCAAAGCGGTAAAGACAGACCACTGTGACACTATGTTCCACTCAGAACACAAGGAGTGAATATGAACAGTATTCATAAATTCATTACAGAATCCTGAAATAATGCTGTAGAAATTAAGAATGAATACTCACAATGTGGTGTGGTATAGCGGTTAGATTGCTCGCCGACCATGCACATGGTCCGGGGTTCGATTCCCGGCCGACGCACTCCTTTACCTCGTTGAGCTAGAAATATTGCTGGTAAAGAGAAAAGGTTGGGCATGAGGCTAGCAACCCAATCCTGTAAAAAGATACTGCTACAGAAACTTCAAGCCACTAGCTTGAAGCCCTATGATCCACTGGGGAACGTGAAGGAAAAAAAACTCTAAATGTTAAGCTGGACCAGCGAGAGTAAAGTGAGTTGCTTGACTGAAGTTCTCATGAAGTTAAAAACGAGCAAATGAAGGTTTTTGAAGGCATAATGGAAATTCAGTCAGTCACTATTCTGTGTAAAACCGAAAACAATTTCTGAATCTTTTCACTGACACCTGTAGAATATCAAATTCACAATGTGCAAATTAATTCACGCATTACACAGCTGGAGATGGTTATTTCTCCCAAAGTGTTCTTTGGAAACCGACATTATTCAGATCACAGCAGCATGTGATCTGCTTGATTACCTGAAATGGTAATCAAGAGATCAAGCGTAGATGCATAAAACTGTATGCTACTTATTACACCGACCACTAATGTTAACCAGACAGAGAGAAGTGATCTGACTAACTGACTGACTGACTGGTTTCAACATAGAACTTGGCACCGAAGTGCAGCATTTCGAGTTGCCACGTTCCAAATAGCACACAAAGGTAGACAAGAAAATGAGTGAAGAGAATCAATAGAGTTTTGACAAGTATAGGAGTGAAACAGAATGAGTAATGGTAGAAAGGAGTATGAAGGTTAAAGAGACTGAATACATCTGCGCCATTGACAACGATTCTGAGCCATGTCACCTAGTGTCTCCAGCCATTGATTCTTAGAGTCCCGAGGGCGGGCCCCAACCCGGAAGTCTGCATCTCCCTCCCTACCTGACTCAGTTTAACTGTCAGGGATTTCATGGATTGATGCCATGTTTTTGTTTGGCCACCACTTACTCTTTTCCAACCTGCACATATATCAGCTAGAAATGCCCGTCGTGGGAGGCGGTGGTTAGGCATGCGCAGCACGTCACCTAGCCATCTCAATCTATGTAACTTTATAGCCTCTTCAATTGATTTTCCCAGTTTGCCCAACACTCTACGCCTAACGTCAACATTACTTATCTTATTATACCACCTAACGTGAGAAAGAGATCGTAAATATCTATGATCAAAAACAGACAACCTTTCCATGTCTTCAACTCGTAATAATAATAATAATTATTATTATTAAAAACAGTAGAATTTTATTGGATATTATGAATCATAAAGGATGGATACATCTGCGTCACTGAGAACGAGGGTTTTGAGCCATATCACCAATTAGCTTCAGCCGTCATTGGTTCTTGCCATCCCGAGGACCCCAGCAAGGAAGTCAGTCTACACCTCCCTACGTGAGTGTCGTGGATTTCATTGACTGATGAAGCCATATTTTGGTTTGGCCGCCACTACCACTAGCTCTTTTCCAACCTGACCCTATATCAGTCAGCATTGCCCATTGTCGAGGAAAGCGATGGCTAGGACAGGCATGCCTAACAACACATGTCCTAACCATCTCTCGCAATCGTTGTAATTGCATAACCTCATCGATTGATTTCCCCTCCTTACCTAGCACTCGACGGAAGCCTAACCTCAATACTACTCAATTTTATTATACCACTGAAAGGTGGGTGATCTAAACACCAGGCGGCCATTTTGAGGCCGGAACACCGGTTTTCAAAGGAAATTATAATGGAACAATCACTTCGAGCTGTGAAAATTGCGAACCAATTTGCAAATCTATCGTTCAATTTTCGGTATCACCAGTTCATCCAAGTAGCTAGCCAGAAGTCTGGAGGTTTGAACTGACTCGAATCTCTAAGCTGAGTTAGGCCAGGCGTGCTGATAATGAACTAGACCGCCGTCCGTCGTTTGACCTGGCTTGCAAACACTACCGGTTTATGTGGTATACCACTTGTCTGTTTATATTGCGTTTAAAAAGCCGGTAGCTATAAGTGGTGCATGTTTTTGCATGACTTTGCCAGTTTTGATGCATCATAAGGACTAAGAATCAAGCCTACACTGATTGGATATGTTTATTCGACAAATGCCTGCAAACCTTTGGGATTAAAAAGATTTTAGTTCAAAGACTGTTGACATCAATCGACCATTCATATTCTCTGTCTCAGCGCAAATGTTGAAAACAACATTTCTTCGATTGTAGGGATGGAGGGGGGGGAGAAAAGTACCGAATAAATTACGGAATAATTTTATATTTCATTGCTTACTGAGCCTAATGTCCCTCAAAGCGTTGTCGTTTCTCCTTTTTTGTTTTCTTTCTTCTTGCATGACTTGCCTCACTCTGATGAAATGAACTTTGTTAAGTATGCGGATGATCTAAATATTTCAGTGTCTGTTAACTCCCAGCTAGACTGTACTAAGATGAACAGCTTCCTATCAGGAGTCAGCAGATGGTCTTCGTCTAATGGTCTAAAACTAAATCCTTCCAAATGTCAGACTGTTAATTTCAGTTTCCGATGTGAAAGAGAGTTAAATGAAGCCGTTGGTTCCTATGACCCTTGCAAAATTGATGATACTGATACAGAAACCAAGTCTGAAGTTAAGTGTCTTGGATTAATTCTCTGTACTGACCTATCCTAGTCTTCCCATGTCTTAGCGATTTCTAAAAGAATATTTCGTTTGACTTTTTACATTAAGAATTTTAGGCACTCAGGCAAAACTCAACCAAACCCTCCTCTTACAGTTTGTCAACTCGTGCATCTCACCTATTCTTCTTTATTGTTCACCCTTGCTTATTCTTTCCTGGATTGCTTGAAGAAGACTACGTCATACTTCGTAGAACTCTGAAGACTGTTAGTAGGGCGAGTGGTATCCCATTGGGCCATTTCGGTGACATTGTCATTGATAGGCACTTGCTGTCATGCAGCAAATTCGCTAAAGGAATTTTGTCAGACTGTGAGCATCCACTCTACTTGCAGTTCCAATCTTGTGTCTCCTCAGGTAAAACAAGAAGTACCTTCAGAAAACTGTATGCTCGCACGTCTAAGTATAAAAATTCTACGATACCAATCATATTTGGCACGTACTTCATGTGATGAAAATGGTGTCAGGTATTAACTAACTAACCTTTGCACCACTAAATAAACCACTTCCTCCTCCATCCTTACAACATCAACCTTTACTGTTATTGTACTTCTTATATTAATAGTCCTCTCAATTTTTTATTTTTATTTGTATATTTTCTCATAAGTGTGAACATCATTTATAACTGTAAATTTTGTATTTTCCCTCACCACACTGTATCAATAGAACATTAGATTCAATACTCTATAACATGCTAAGCATTTCCCAACTGAATCGATAATACTGTTTGAAACAAACTCACTGGTATTATTATTATTACTATGTTCATTATTATCCATTCGTATTTTTAATATTTTAGACTTTATATCGTAAATGTGGATAAATTCCTCTGGTTAATTTTGTTTTAATTTTTAATTTTATTTATATTTTGAGTAAATCACATGCAGTATTGCAACAAATGCTGAGAATTCCATTGTGTATTATCGTAAGTACTGTTTTTGGAATAAAGTAGATTATTATCATTATTGATTATTCAAGTCAGAAACCTATGGAATGTTCCCTAACAAGCCAAAATAGCATCAGTGCAATACTTTACAGTTAGAAACTCACATCTAAAATATTCGCGTGTTTCTCCAAGAACCAACCACACAAAAGACCTATAGCATAAGTACTCCAACGTGTGTACGGCTTCACATAGATAGTGGTGAATGATTGACTACAAAAAAGAGAAAGTAAATTGCAATCAAAAGTCAAAGATAAAATAGTTAAATATAATTACTAAGCATGGAATGGCAATCAAACCTCTAGCTCAACTTTATAGACTTTGTGGTCAACGCTGTCGAAGGCCTTCTCAAAGTTATTTGGAAACTACTCAAGTACTACAGCGTACCCAAAATATTCATCAACCTTATTCAACAGCTGCACAACAACGGCACATGTCAAGTGATCCACAACGGAAAACTCAGCGAGGCGTTTGGAGTAAACACAGGAGTCAGAAAAGTGTGCTGATTATCACCAATGATATTCCTAATTGTAGTGGACTGGATTATGCGTCAGACAATGGGAAACGAGAAGACAGGGATATCCTAGACCGACGTGAAGAACCTAGAAGACCTGGATTTCGCGCGTGGGTGATTTATGTTTGATATCACACAAAATCGAAGACTTACAAGCGAAAACCGACAAACTGATAGAAGAAGCAGCAAAGACAGGACTCCAGGTGAACATAGACAAGACGGAGGTTATGAAAATAACCAACCAACAACAACAACAGCAGCAGCAACATCCAGCACCAATCACCATCAATGGGCGGGGTTTAAAAGAGGTTACTTCATTCACTCACCTAGGGAGCATTGTCTCAACTACAGGCAGGTGGAACGGACGAGGATGTCAAATCGAGAATCGGGAAGGCGAGAAACACATTCATCAACCTGAAACCAATCTGGAAATCTTCGTCACTCAACTCAGCATCAATAACAAAATGATTCGGATTTTCAATACAAACGACGTCAAGTCAGTCAGTTCTTCTATACGGATCAGAAACTTGGCGGCGGGTCACAAAGAATATTTCCAACAGCCTGTTGCACACCTTTATCAACAACTAACTGTCTTCGCTGGCTCTATACTGAAGATGAGATGGCCGGAAAGAATCACCAACAAGAAACAACTATGGGAACAAACAGAACAAGAACCAACCGGTCAACAAATATTCAGGAGAAAGTGGAGATGGATTGGACACTCGCTGAGCAGAGGAGGCCGCTGGTTGACATCGCGCGTCAGGCCATAGCTCGAGTGGAACCCGAAAGGGAAGTGGCTAGCGGGACGTCAATGCTAGTGTGACATGGAGTAGATCGTGTGAAGAGGAGTTGAAACAGTATGGACTAACATGGATGCAGGTGAAAAGTACATCAGAAGACAGAAGCAAGTGGAGACGTGTAGTTGAAGGGCCCTATGTTCCACTAGGAACCCAAGGGAACAACAATAATAATAATACTATCAAAATCGTGCATTTGAATGTTTAGATTTCACTCTGAAATAAGAGAGTCTAGCTTTAAGATGTACTGAAGATTGTTTTTCTCCCACTCATTGGAGTTATGAGTAGAACATAGGGCTTCAGACTTGATCTTTGGAATTGCACTAGCAGTGGCGTGTTTTGTGGAGTGGGTTTGCCAGTCTCACACTCAATCTTATCTCCGTATTTCGGTCTTTCTACCGGTTAGTAAGCTAAGTGAGGTTGTGAAGGGAATCGCTGGGGATGGAAATCAGAACCATGTGCGTGTCTGGCTATCATACTACCAGTGAACCCATTGAAACACACCAGATGATGAATTTGAGTACCTGAATATCTACCTATCACAGTATCTCTCGCATGCTAGATGAAGTCTTTGCCTTTTGAGCTAATACGTCAACGGATACTCCACAAACACATACTTAACTGTAACTATCGTTTACAAGGGATAATGATACTGCCCGGTTGTTCAAGCTAAGTTAGGTGAAGTACGACTCAAACCCAGGAACTACTAAGTGCACGCTGAGTGCTTAAGCCAATGAACCACACCTACGCACACTGAAGATTAGGTAGTTTTCGCAGTAATAACAACGTAAATAAGAGTGAACTATTTAGTAGGGACCTTAAAATCATATGCTGCATATTAGTTGATAAACCTTCATGTGAAATATGATCCAGTAAGAATCGTTCTTTTTCTTGTCTATCCCGTACTTACAGTCACCAAAATATCTTAATGAAATTGAATTATTCATCAAAACTCTACAATGTCCTGTTGTTGAATGTTAACGGGACAAATTAATGGCTGTCTGCTTGGCATTTCAGCTTCTCAAACGGACACTCTAATGATCACTTCAATTATAGTACACCGACAGAAAGACGGAATATACACTTTGGATCATAAGAATTATTAAAAAGACGGTTGCAGCGAAGAAAATTTTCGTTTCGATCAAGTCATCAACTAGGCTGTACATCCGTGTATTTATGATAACTGGGCAGGAAAGTTCCAGAATAATTTCCGGTCAAGCGTTAAGAACGCGAAAGACAAGCTGTCGCATTGGGCCACTACAACCTGCATATACCAGTTTACTTGCTCTTGCGGAGCTGAGTACATCGGCCGTACCATGCGCCAACTTGAAAAACACACTCGTAAACACTATCCAGCCTGGTTAGTAAAAGGAGATCGAAAACGTGTATGTAGCTGAGTGACAGAACATTTGATCAATTCAGGATATTCAGTGCCATTCGAAAACTCCTTCAAAATAATATATACGATTCTATCAAACTTATCAAAAGGAGTGAAAATAAGACATCTGGGCATAGTCGAGGCACTAGCTATCCAAAAGCTCAAACCCACGCTATGTATCCAAAAGAAATACGTCTAACCCTTGTCCCTGCCGTGGCCATCATAAACAGACAATTCTTCTAATAGTGACTATCCCGTTACCTTTCTTATCCAAACTTCCTGTTTCTTCATGTTATTTTAAGTCTTTCTTAGTCCCTATTTACACTACCATATTTTCACATCCGAACTTCCTGTCTATTTTGTCATTTTATTAATTCTGCATATTTAATCCCTAATCGCATAAACAATTATTCGTCACATTAGTTATGATTCCACTAGATTTTTTATCCAAACATCCTGTCTATTTTGTTATTTCTACATTTCTAACCCCTAATTGCACAATATGTCAATCTTCTCAGTAATTATGATGCTACTTTGTTTGAGTTTTATCCGCCCCCCCCCGCATGTTTATTATGGCATTTTAATTCCTAATTGTAATTTTATTAATCTGACCCTTGACCGGAGATTATTCTGGAACTTTCCTACCCATTTATCATAAATACACGAATGTACAACCTAGATGATGATTCCGTCGAAAGGAAAATTTTCTTCGCTGCAACCGACAGAAAGACATAGTTTCAATTCAGTTAAGTCAAAAGTTTCTGTAGAGAAGAACCTGTAAAAAAATGGTGTCTTTCATAGCTCAGTAGGCTTATAGCAAACGCTTTTGTGTTTGAAACGTCTACGCACGAGTCCTGATAAGAATACAAACACCCTGAGATACAGGAACATCCAACCAATACAGGCCGCCACCCATCAGATAACATCTGATAGAACTAGTTTTAGTTAGTAAGCTAAGTAACTATGAAATATGATAAATGAAGTTCATCAAATGAAAAATTTGAAGAAAACTGAGCCTAGATTTCAACTAGAGACTAACGCACATGTGAAGTACCAACTTTGATTAATGTGCATATTAAAACAACATGAGGTTAGATTGATGAGAAAAATATTGATCAAATTTTACAGTTGATAAAGATTTTGTGTTATGTTTCACATGTCAAGTTGTAGAACAGAGTGAGTAATTCCCAGATTAGACGTAGAGTACTGCATAAAGAGGGTAAGCCAATCAATGTGATTGTTAAGCTTCGTCGGTCAAGACGATTGGGACACGTGTTGTGCATGCCGAGCACCACATTCGTCGTCAAGAAATATTAGCTGACATAGGACTGAGTTGTAAAAGAGGTAGGGGGTGATCAAATGAAAACCTGCCAAGAATTCATGAAGCCTCTTACACTCGGTTTGAACCCTGTAGGGACATGTAGACTGCTTGGTTGAAATAGTCACGATACTAAGGATTAATGGCTGTAGAACATTGGCGATATGGCTGAAAATCTTTATCAGTGGTGCAGATGCATTCACTCTCTGTGGTTAGAGAACCACTTCCCAGTATCTACACTCTTGGGGTGCAAGAACGCTATCCTGCATGGTTACGAAGAGATGAAAGTGGAGCAATAAGAAGCGCAATCATTCAACATCTGGTTTAAAACTTATAACCCTATGTCTACAGCCTCCGCCTTTAAATTCATCTACAAGGCAAAAAATGATTTTCTCAAATCATTACGTAACTGACTCATCTGTATTGCTGAAGCTTTGACCTTTGAAAAAGAAAAGCCAGGTCTCTGTATACAGACAGAGCTCGTTCAACCCCTCCAACTTTCATGGTCTTAATCCCTCTATGCTAAAGTATGGTAATCCCTAGGCATATTTTGGCTCTACCAGTTTTTCATTTTTTCATTTTGTCTATTCAGTTTGTATATTCTTCCTTCATTATGTCAATTGTTACTATTACTATTCTTGCTTTGAACTGTACCCGATATTATTTCACTTGTTCCACTTGTCATTCTAAATCAATTCTGTTTTGCAACATTAAATTCTATGCTATCAAATTTCACACAATATTACGTCACGTTTTTATTTTATTCGATTTGCCTACTAATCCTATAATTGCACACCTCTTACAAGTCCTGGACATCCTATGAATTATTCTGTGTATCACATTGATTGTTTTGCCACTTGACACTTAACTGTGATTATAATCAGAAAAATTCTAATTGCATTTCATACTACTACTATTATTATTACTTTATGCATTCACACCTATGGTTCAATCTCCTCACCGGATATAATTTCTTAAAAATCATATATATATATATATACGATTGTACAGCTTGATGATAAATTCGTTGTTGAAAAGAGTCTCTTCACTGAATCACTTGTTTTGATTTTCTATATGTTACAATGGGAATTTTCCATGAATTAACCTTAACACTGATTGATTCAAGGCCTAGTTAAAGGAACCTTACAGAATAGGCCAGTCAACTGAACAAAAAACATTGTTTTTTGCACTGTAAACTAGGAATTTATTCTCGTTATTGTAAAATAAATATACATTTGTCAACAGTTGTAATTTCTAGTTATATAGCGTTTTGCATAGGAAAACAACACCTTGCCCATCCTAGCGCTAGCCTTTTGTATCTTCTCAGTGAAGGAACAGCAGCCGACTTATCCTCGCTATAGTATAGTTATGTTGAGATGACAGTTAACAGGAGTCCACGAATTCTAGTTCTATCATCATCACTGTGTTGGAACAGTATACACTTGGAAATCTAATCAAGTCAAACCAACCCCCCACTGCACAGGAAAGGCGAATAGTTATTGTGCAGTATAAACTAACCCGTTTATCTTGCTGTCAATTGGATGATGGTGACTAGCAGTGGAATATACCAGGATGCACATTTCGTCCTATTTGGGACTGGTCAGCCAAAGCACTGCCCGCTAGGGCCACCGCTCTTGTGCAACGGGTCCTATTAATTATTTAATTCAATTGTAGATTTTCCCGTCGATTGATTGAACCGAAGTGCTCGGTCTCATCAGGATGACATGGCGTTTGAAACTATGGCCACTGGATTCGAGCCTCGGGGAGGGGGGAACATCATCACCCACTGACTCGGGTATGCAGGTACATCCAGCAGCTGGGAGACGAGTCCCAATTAGGACGAAATGCGCATCCTGATGGATTCCACTGCTAGTCACCATGACCAGACATCGTCGAAGCATCTGCACAAGCAGCTGACATGTCAACCTACGACAGAGTACTTCTGTCCAATCAATCGACGGGAACATCTACAATTGAATCAAATAACTCATTCAACCGCATAAGTCAGTATAGTGAGCCAGAAGGTTATAGATATACTTTTACATATATATGTGCACAAAAAGTGTACACGCATACTTTTATACATAAAAAAAGAAAGAAACAACAGGTTAATTCATCCAAGGAAAAAAGACAACCAAATGTGTATATATATATATATATGTAACTATTCCGTATCTTTTAAAGTTCAATTTATTTAGATTTATTTCTTTACCATTCTCACCTTCATTTACGTTTTTATTAAGTTTGGCCGCTGAAAATGTTACTATTTTACTACAAAGTTCCATGTTGGAAATTCACTCAGCCGGTCTGTCCATTAATCATTTACAGTTCTGAATACGCGGTCACTTAAAAGACTAGTACGTACGGAGATGTAGCTCATTGGCTTTAGCACTTGGCAGTCAGCCAGTCACTATCACATTCGAATTCTTACTGCAAGGTAGGTGAATAACATAATCAACATCTACCTATGCGTAAGGTTCATCACACACGCATACACACACACAGCCTGATAAATGAAAGATTCTCACGACTGATTCTTAATTACTAATAAATTAACTGGTTTAATCAAAGTAACATACACAGTTACAAGTAGTTTTTCACGACCAGATATAATTATCGCTATGCTACACTTTCAAGCCACTGCCTTTTTAAGCTTAGAGGAATCTTCAAAAAAGGCTAAGAACCAACGGCTGAATACTGCTGATGACTGTTCACTCTAAACTATTCTCTGTTGATGTGGATGTATTCATACCTTAACACATCATTCAGACTTACTCACATATATTTTTTTATTTAGAGATCATGACATGAGTTACAGTACTGACCAAATATTAAACAATAAAAACGTACTCCCAATTTGCAATACAAAAATGCTGCGCAAAACTTACAGTCCAAGAAGCCCGGGTAAATAGTCATTTACATATGAAATACCGTAGGTAGATCCAATACAAGAAATGATAAGTCCAATGGCAAAGGAAATACCGATGATTTCATGGCTGAAAAAAGTGAAATTTGAAAATAAATATTAATATATGTGTGGATATGATGGAGAAGATTTGTAGCTCAGGTGGATGATTTTGATATGGTTGTGTTCTCTGAGCTGGATAGTTAATTTGCAAAGCTTTCATATAATGATAATGACATCCTTCGACCAAAGAATTATACAGAAAACTGAAACACCTAACGGAATCTTTTGATCACTCCGTCAACTCTGCTATCCAATTTCTAGAGAAAATCAAAGGCATCCAAATAGATGAACAAGAAATAATGATATTCTTCGATGTCACAGCATTATATACTTCAATCGGACAAAAACTAGCAAAGGAGACCATGGAGCAATTACTTAGCAACGACGAACACCTCCCGCAACAATCAAAAATGCCACACACAAGTTGGATGGAATGCATAAACCTATGCCTAACAACGTACTTCCAATTCAGCGGCCAAATATATGAACAAGTCAAAGGAACACCTATGGGATCGCCAATATCAGGTTTGATTGCAGAAGCAGTGATGCAAAGGCTCGAGAACATAATTCTACCAAAGATCAAACCCAAGATTTGGATACGCTACGTAGATGACACCTTTGTAATTATCAAAAGAAACGAGTTAGATAAAGCTCACAACCTAATAAACAACGTCTTCAACGACATCAAATTCACAAGAGAAGAGGAATCCGAGAACGAAATCCCATTTTTGGACATCTAGGTCAAGCGAACAACACCCACAGGGGAATTAGAAACTCAAGTCTATAGAAAATCAACTCACACAGATCAAATACTGAATTACAACAGCAACAACCCAATAACACAAAAAAGGAATTGCATACAAACATTATTCAGGAGGGCCAGGACTCATTGCAACACTTCCACTTTAAGAAAAATTGAAGAAAGATACCTCATGGACGTCTTCCAAAAAATGGATATCCACGAAATTTCATCAAAAGACATATACCCCCAAGCCAACCTGTCAAACCAAAAGCCCCCAAGGAAAGCACAAAGAAAGTCGCCCTGGCATATATAAAGGATATATCAGAAATCACTACAAGACTCGTCAAACCTCTAGGAATTGACGTCGTACACAAACCAACAAAGTCACTTCACTCAGCTGGCTCTATGTCAACCACAAGACTCAATAACGGAAGAAGATAAAACCAACATCATCTACAAGATAAATTGTAGCAACTGCGAAAAACACTACATCGGCCAAAGTGGACGTCCCCTTCGTCTTCGTATCCATGAACATAAACTAGCCGTCAAAAGACATGACATCCACTCCCTCACTCATATCGCTGCATACAGACAACCACGGACATCAATTCGACTGGGACAACCAGCGTTCAAATATTAGACAGAGGAAACAACAAGAATGCTAGAGAATTTTTAGAAGCTTGGCATTCCAGTGAATCATTAATCAATAGACACATCGAGATTGACAAAATTTATCAACCAATAAGAAAGGAACCTCACATACAAAAGGTCAAAGTTCAAGTCAAAGAAACGATCAGTTCCAAGTACAAGTAGCCTAGAAGGTGTGAAAACACACAAAACCAACCAATCACGTCCAAGGTTAACAGGAGAGATTATGAATAAACTCGTGGGGAAATCTAAAAGCTCACTTCAAACTGAAGTATGCGCTGAAGATGTTACCTAGTAGGGTGATGAAAGCTTCGCAAATTAACTATCCAGCTCAGAGAACACAACCACATCAAAATTAACATATGTGTATTACACGACAATTTTTATTGTTGTTTTTTGTTACAGAAAAGTGAAACTCCACTCCAAACATTCAAGTTTTGGTTTGTAGGGATTTAATGGATTGCATATAGGATTTCATCACATCCCCATAAACCAATACTTTAAAATCAATTGGATGCCCACTAGCGACTGGTCCTATTCAGGTAAGTAGTTACCTGGGGTTCTAGCGTGAAGTGGTGACCAGTGGGGTAAATCAGGTCGGGTGTGAGGACAAATACCCACCGCGAATGACATTAGCTAGTAGTCACGCTATGTCGTGAGTTGGCAGAAGTTGGAATTCATGGGCTGGCCATTGTTAACGGATCTCAGTGGCATAATCGTCTACGAGATCGCCTTATGACAGTAAGGTTCCTGGGTTCGAACCCCCTGTGGTGAGTGCGTACTGCTGAAGGACAAAACAGCTGTCCAGTACTCTAGTGTTGGTTTTCCAATGGTTCTTTATTCTGGAACTAAAAAACGCTGATCGTTTTAACAAAAGTAAATATGCAACAAAATAAGTAGTACAGTATCTTCTTACCACATGAGTAAAGATAAAAATATTGGCGCCAATACAAGTGAAAATTGTAATTCATTAGATAAATACCATGACCATCCCATACACTAAAAATGAAAAAATTCATAATGTATAGAATATAAAGATAATATTGACAGTGTAATTGTCATATTATGTACGTGGATTAATTTATACAAATGCACTGACCATCTTTGTCAAGGTAGGAAGGACTGATAGGCAAAGAAGGAACAGCTTAACACCTGTGTCCTGTTGAGGAGATCTGTAACTCTTAAGTGTATACTCAAGAGCACCAATGTGTTGGACCCACGAAAAACCTCTGGGAAGTCTGAAATTCGCGAAAACCATCAAGTTAGCAGAGGAGGCAGGCAGCAAAGACAGGACTTCTGTTTAACATGGGCGAAAGACAGGTGATGAAGACACCAACGCACTAACAACAAGCATAGATCATTTTTGATTGTCGATTGCCTCCAACCATCCAATACCAACAATTCACAGTGCACCGTAATGGCGAGCCACCCAGCATGGTGGCCACATTGCAAACATGACTGATAGAATTCAGTCTGCACCGAAGATGGGACTAGACACATTACACTAGTTACTGACTAGTGTGCAATCAAAAATATCCAATACAGTCCTACAGGAGGTCAGTCGCGAGCCTGAATAGCTCAGTGTTAACCTCTCTGACTGCACCACTGGGTGACGCGGGTTCGAATTTCAGAAGGGACATGAGTTCCTTCAAGGTTGCAGATACGCTTGCTGATGAGTGCCAACTAGCACGAAACCTAGGTCCAAGGCTTCCTGCCGATTGCCTCCAACCATCCAATACCAACAAAGCACAGATCACCATCAAGGGTAGAAATCTAAAAAGAAGTCATCTCTTTGACATGTGTAAATAGAATCTTCACAACTACTGGTGACGTAAATAAGGATTTCAAAGCCAGGATAAGGAAAGCACTACGAGAGACCTTCTGTCACTACTGTTGAACATTGAATTGTTTGTTTATTCGAACTGGCCACCATTTGGCGGGAGACAAGAAAATTATCACTGTTTTATCGTATACCCGGTTTGTAGAAGATTAGAGAATTTATTTACAAACTTTTGCTTGCATTTGGTAACAATTGTATTAAGTATGTTTCGTTATCAGTTGAAAAATAAACACAATCGTATATTTCCCAACCGTTTTCTGTTGTTCCGCATTGCAGGTTCCATTGCATAGTATTCTGTGTTATAGGCCAGGTAGTAGGAGCTGGACTTGCTTCTTTTGAACACAGAGCACTGGTTGTTTCAGGCGAATTGCAATAGCCTCTGCTGTTTGGATCATGCGGTGCTTCGATGATTTCGGCAATTTATTAGGCACCCCATAGATTAAAGAGAAGGATTCTTCCACGCTGGCTGGCTTTGTGGCCGGTTTGCACCAGATGGTCCAATATCGAACTGCTGATGGTTTTCACTACACTTTTACTTAGCCATGCTGGAAGATGTTCTCGAGTGAGCACGAAAAATCAAGTTCCTAGGGCAACGGCCAATATAACTCGCTCCACCACAAGCGCAGTTGAATTGGTAGATACAATTTGAAGTGGCTAGTGTAGGTACTTCATCTTTCAGTCTTTGCTCTAGGAACTTGATTTTTCGTGCTTGAGCACATATCCCACTATGGCTAAGTAAAGGTGTAGTTAAAACTATTAACAGCTCGATATTAGAACATCTGGTGCAAACCGGTCACAAAGCCAGCACTGAAGAATCCTTCTCTATAATATACCGGGTGCCTAACAAATTACCAAAATCATCGAAGCACCGCATGCTCCAAACAGCAGAAGATGTAGCGATTCACGTGAAACAACCAGTGCTTCATGTACAAAAGAAGTAAGTACAGTCAGCCACTACTCCTGACCTGGCCGGCCTTCAGCAGAGACTATAAATTCATGAATTTGTACTATTATCTTTCCTAAGTTTTCTGACATTCAGGTTATTTTATGTTGATGCTACTGAGCTGTAATCTATCAATATTATTGATTCGATATTATTTAAACAACATTAATGTTGTTCATGGCACTAATTCATTCATTCACTATTATGTACGTATATCTAACTGTAGAGCCTGATTATGAAGTTATTCAAAAGAGTACTCTTTGTTCATTATCCATGCTTTTCAAAATTTTAATGGGCATGTTTAATCAGTTAAAAAATAAAAGTTGTAAATTACGTAGTACTCAACGGCACAAAGTTAGAAATTTGATAAGGTAAAAATTGCTATTGAGTCAGAATAAAGGTAGTTGAGTGTCAATCTAACAAGTGTGAAGAGGGTGTGAAAATGTACAAAAGGAATATGTCAGAGTAATAATAGTGAACTAATTAATAAAGTAAAAGCAAACTAAAATTAAAATTTTTTTACAGGGAACGACCAGTGAAGAGGTTAAGACCAACGTAGGATAAGAGAGTGGACAAACTTTTTCTGTGTACAGAGTTAGGGGATGTATTGACGAATTGCCAGCGCCTCCACTATACACAACAGCCGACACCTGACACCTTTTGTACCGTTTAACCTCACCTTGTAGATGACCTTTGTGCCGTTGAGTACCACGTAATTTAAAACTTTTATTTTTTTATTTCTAAAGCCACTTCTGGGTAATTAGATCAATTATATCACCCCCTGTTACTCGATAATAGACTACTAATCATTTTTGGTAAATATAAATACGACTGTACAGCCTGTGAAGATGATTTTGTCGATAAACAAATAAGTCACATCCGCACCGGTACGTTATATGATAATCACCCAGAAATTTGCTTCTTTACGCAAATACCGAATTACATTGTGTAACAATACTTTCACTTACTATTTCATCTGCATATATAAAGTTGTTTAAATATGTTGCCCACCAATGTGCCCGACAGAATTTAATATCTGTTAAATTAGGATTCTGTGGATACAATGGGCCAGAATAAGCATGAATGAAGAGACCAGTGTAGAAAAATAAAACTAGAAGATAAGCTGGTGTTAGGCTGAAATGGCATGGAAGAGAAACAGAAAAATATGAAAAAAAAGCAATATTATTCAGCATAATATGGTTAATTTAAATCAGTTGATTCCCTCTATGAATTCCAACAAAACAACCAGAAGAAGCAGTTTAAAATAATTTGATGTGTGATGGCTAGCAGTGGAATTCACCAAGATGCTCATTTCGTCCTGTTTGTGACTCGTCAACCGGATGTACCTGCGTTCCTCAGTGTGAGTGATGGTTTTCTCACTGAAGCTGAAATCAATTGACCATCATCTTATATACCACAGAGTTATCCTCTGGACCGCTCAGGCCACAAGAGCCACCTCTTGTACAGCGAATGTCACTCATTAGTTGTTTGTAATTCACTTTTGATTTTCCCGTTGATTGATTTGACCGAAATGTTCAGCCTCCGTTGACACGTTGGCTCCCACTGCGGACGACAGGACGAAATGAGCATCCTGAATTTCGCTGCAAGTTAAAATCCTCCAGATTACTTCAAATTAATCTTCGAAAATCGTTAAAGCAGGTCGAAGATGAGGCAGTAACTCATCGAAGAAGACATTGCGAAATGGTCGCCCTATGTCGTGAATTGGCGTACTGCTGAAGAGTCCCAAACTAGGACGAAACCGCTGTCCAGTACTCCCAGCTGGTTTTCCAGTGGTCCCCTAACTGATGTCAGCTCATGATGAAATCCTTCAAGCAATCGTTAAAGCGTCTGTACTAGGAGCTGACATTTCAACAGAGGCCCGAACATTCTGGTCCAATCAATTGACGGGAAAATCAAAACTGAATTGAAAACAAATAAGGACGTAATTTATCTGAAAAGTGTAATATATATTTGTGTAACGTATTTCGAACATTCTTATCACACACGTATTTGTCATGCATAAAGGATTACAATTTTTGTCATCAGTATAGGTCAAAGTGTTTACAGGTCATGATCATGACGTAGGTGTCAGTCTCTATACTTCTCCCTTGACAGTGATCGCTACCTAATAGCTAATCTATGTATTCAGAGCAGTCAGTCGTCAGCCAAAATGTTCAGTGATAATGTCTTTGACTCCAGGAGTTGAATTCTGTCTCGAACCTCAGGGAGAACATCCGTTCCACTCAGTCTTAGTCAAAAAAACGCTATCCTCAGCTTCACATACTTGCAAATGCATTTTAAGCTTTGTGAAGGTAAAGCTGTTGCGTATCTGACCAATGTGCAACAGCAAGGCGTAATTACCAACCGGGTCCTAACTAATCAGTCTGTTAAGATAACACGAATTTTCCTCAAACTATTTCAATTTTTATCTAACAGAGTTCAGCATTCCATGGTGGAGGAAACCCTTTTAAAGATCCAACAACTGCAAACAATACCAAATTATCAAGGTAGATTAAATCATAAAGTGAAACACACACTGGAAAATAGAGAGCACTTGATGACTGTTTCGTCCAAGCTAAGGACACTTCAACAGGATGTAGCCAATCAAATTTGCAGAAGCTCAACTTTGGAAAGTATACAGCATTGTTCTGACTATCTTTCATTGACAAGATATCAAGATAACAATAGCTAATTAAATAATCGAACCTCTTTCATCAAAATGTATTCCTTGCTCATTTTGTCTAAGTCGGAGCAGTAACCAGCACACTAAGTAGACTAGAGAGAATTGCTTACTTTCTGAGCAGTTTCATTTTCGAGCACTCAGCTGTTATTATCTGTTTAAGCTGGCAGTAACCGGTAGTTCTTGCTGGTCAATTATCCGAGCAGTAGTCTAGCCTAACACTGCTTAACTTCAGTGATCAGACGAGGACCAATGTTTTTAAGATGGTATGTTCGCACCCATAGTTCAGTATTCAACAGGCTCGCCTTCTGGGTTTAGTGCTTTGGGTTCTATCCCTGGTGAAGCTGTGGGTGCATACTGTTGAATAGTCCCAAGTCACAACGAAACATCTGTCTAGTACTCCTATATCAACTTCGTGCAGTTAACTCGTCGGACCTGTGACTAGAGAAGAGGGTAGGCCAGGCGAGGGGCTTGCTCCCCACCTAGAAAAAACAGCCTTATCACGACTGTAGCTTCAAAAGGCAGGGAAAAAAAGAATAATAAAAATAATAAACTCGGTCAAACATTAACTCACTATGCGTGCATGCACACGTACTTACCGAACAATACGATGAAATATAAAGCCACACCAAAATTTAAACCAATTTTTCCAATTGCAAATTCTTCTAAGTTTCGGAAGCGTTAAATAGGTTGTCAATAATCCTCTGAAAATATATCATTGTAAAGAAAAACAATAAAATCATCGAAAAATGTTGTATTCGGTCTTACGATTTATCACAAATAATAAACGAAGGGGTTGACTGCTGAAAGTGAAGTGAAAAACAAGCGACTTGAAGGTTTAAACTAGCAGCCTAACCGCTGAATGAATTAAATTCCTGACGAGTACTCGACAGTGCTTTATTCAGCGAGGAGTTTGTTCAAATTTTTAATAAACACATTTTCAGGAGTTTTGTTTGTAAGGATTAGATTTGCTTTTACGAGTTGATTGATCACGGATTGATATCAGTTAGAGAACCATTGAAAACCAGCACTGGAGTACTGGACAGCTGTTTCATCCTAGTGCTTGGGAATCATCAACAGTACGCACCCACCAATCGGGTTCGAACCCAGAACCTTCCAGTTACAAGGCAAGCTTGTATACCATTCTTGTATACCAATCTAATGCTTGCTAGTGACTTGCTACAAGACAGAGTTTCCTGGGGTTCTAGTGAGAATTCGTGACCAGTGAGGTCCATCCAGTTAGAAGTGAGGATGCAGTTCCCACCGACGACACTGGTTGGCGTCGTGCTAAATCACGAATTGGTAGGAGTTAGAACTCATGCGCTGGCCAGTGATTCGGGTCCCAGTGGCTGAATGGTATACGAGCTTGCCTTGTGGCTGGAAGGTCCTGAGTTCGAACCCCATTGGGTGTGTACTGCCGATGATTCCCAAACTAGGATGAAACAGCAACTGTCCAGTACTCCAGTTCTGGTTTTCAGTGGTTCTCTAACTGATATCAATCCGTGATCAACTCGTAAAAATAAACACATTCTTAATTATGAGTATATGTAAAGAAAATGTGATGTTGACTTGATCCAGAGTCGAATTAGATTTCGATTAGTTACTTTTGTTGTAAATCATTCTAGACCTTAATGTCTACAGTGTGCATAACGGACAATTTCTTGGTAAGAACAAAAGATTTTTGGTACTCATTGTGAATAATTTGTATGCAGACAGGCTGCCAGCGATTCGAGAAGAAAATAAAAGACATTTCACAAGAGAAAAATCTACAGAGATGCACAGTCGTATTTTTGTTTCAAGAGGTTTGTTCAGTCACTGAACTGATAATTATTTATTTTTTTATTTTGATTACAGCTTGATGCTACAGCGTATTTTCAGTACAAGTATGGAATTTTCAGCATGGATATCGGTAGCCCAAATTTTGTAGGCTGACCATAGATATAGGGTGTGCGTCGGAAGGGGATCAAACCCCAGACCATGTGCATGGTTGGCGAGAGTCCTAACCACTATGCCACAGACGATGGATGTAATATGTCTAAACATTTTACCCCTAATTGTTTTCTCTTCTCCCACTGTTACACCTCTACTATTCATTAAACTGATCTTGATTTAATCGTCTTTCAATTTTAGTTGAACCCCAAATCATTCCTATTAATTAAGCAGCAAATATAAAAAAATAGAGACCATGGATTGCAAACGCACCAGTGACCTTGAACGCAGAGCGAAACATCCCAACCTTAATCCTAATTCTTACTTTAACCATAACTGCGACCCCCCAGCTAGCAATGACTTTGGGCGCATTACAGACTTTCTAAAGCAGAATTCAGGTACACTGCAGACACTGTGTGGCAGTCTGCAGACAACTATCCCACTTCCACAATGCACTCGAAGTTTACTGCACCGAAATATCTCCAGTGCGCTCGAAAAATGCTAGCTGGGTTCAATACTTACCTTAAACTCAATCCTAATCCTAACCCTTACGTTCGTTAACCACACCCTAACCCTAGTACCAATCTGAAAGCTGATGTGCCATAAGCCCATTGGCCAGACAGTACTTAAAAACGAGATTAGGATGAAAACTGCACATTAATTCACTAATATACAAACTTTAACAGAAATTGTTATTAAAGGTTAAAAGTGAAGAAAGCATTTTATAGATAGACGTACGACATAAAAAAGAAGGTATCCACAGACAATGGTGCAGCAACCATCACTTGAAATGTCCATTTACGCAGATGAGTTTGTGCATAAAATAAAGCATTATCTAAAAATAAAAAATTGTTTTTAAAGATATTGGTAAAACGGAGAGAAAACAAACTTTTTTCAAGTATTGGTTTTGTAGGGAATTAGTTTCGTTGAATGGAGGATTTCACCATGAACTGAAGAGCCCCAAACTAGGATGAAACAGCTGTGCAGTACTCCCTGAGGGTTTTCCAGTGGCTCTCTAACTGATGTCAACTCATGATGAAATCCTCCATCCAGTCAAACTTCTTTTTGAAAAAGGAATTAGTGAAATTCACGTAAGAATTACATTCGTATTATATTCGTTCAGAAGTGTGCCAAAGTTGGTATAGTTAACACAGTTACCTCCTTAGGATTGCTATTAACCGCCTGTAAAGACTTACCTATTGCTGAAAACTCAAGGTGTATATTCAATAATAGCCAACTAAGTAAGTCGTCCGGCATCCAACGCCTGATCGACGCACTCATATAAACCTCACTCACTCAGCTAGTAGTAAACTCACTTCAGAGAGGAGGCTGGACGTGAGGCTAGCAATGCCATCCCGTAAAATAAAACACACACTGCTGCTAATGAAACTTCAAAGCTAATGTATGAAGTTGCATGTCACACCGGAGAATGCAAAGGAGTAAAATAAAAATGATTAAAAAAATTGTGTTTAGACTGGAGTATACATACTTAATGAATAACTTTCGACGTGTAATAAGAGGCTACTATTATGTCAGGAATAAAGTCTCCTGTTGCACATGAATGCTACATTTGGAGTGCTGACCCGATAAATAATTATTTCACAGGACAAATGCAAGGGTCAGTTTCACGACGGATTCGGATAGATCATATAGCTGTGTTTTGTTTTGCTAGGTTAAATGCTCGGAAAGCTACCATACACACACTGATCGCCTTCATTGTTCCCCAAAGAAATTGAAATGAACAGTATTTGTTTTTGTAAATACTGGTGATGGAAAGTGGTTCTAATTCTCAGATAATGGTTAGAAAAGTGTTCTGGACAATCAGATGGTAATGAAGAATAATGGAAAATTATGAGTAGACTAAAGAACAGTCTAACCAGTAACGGTTAGCATTATCGGCCATTGAAAGCCAAACGGATGTAGAAGAAAGAAGATAAAGGATTCGGTTGGTTAAAGAGACCAGCGTAAGAATAGTGTAGTGGTAAATAATTCCCCAAAATTATTGACTACAGCACTCATCACTGAACATTGGGTGCCGACCCTCACTGTTTAAGTCAACTTGTTTGGCTAAAGGCCTCCGGTCAAGCATCCGCGCCATCTGGTACGCCGTCGTGTCACGTTTGTTCGTTCGTGGACGATCCCTAGCCAGCTAAGCAATCATCTCGCACTTTGATTTGGTCCCGAAATATATCTCGTAATTTGGACGATCAATTCTGGTGTTTTTTTGCTTAGCCTTTGGTCTACGCGGAATGAATACCATAGAAGTTGTGGGTATAAGATTTTGCGTTAGTATACTTCGTCCTATCCGTGAACGTCAATACCGTCAGCCTCTAAACTGGTGAGCCCAACCGCGAACTTCATCTTTGGTAAATACACAGACAAATCCGGTGGGTTCGTTCCATTTTGTATTTGTTCTTGTACTATTTTCAAACTATATATATTTCGTCATGAGTGATCATACTCCTAAGGTCATTCGTATTTGCTCAACTTCCGAAACTATTCAGCCTGTACCATTTTGGCTAGATAACGCTGAATCATGGTTTCAGATAGCTGAGTCTGATTTTAGTGAGCATGCGCTAACTGATCAACGTTCACAGTCCCTTGCAGTTGTTCACGCCCTACTGCGGGAATTCAGCAAGTGCGTGACTGTGCAGATGTCGAGCCCAGAGGTAAGTGACTCGTATGAGTTGCTTAAAACAACCCTCCTAAGGAGAAACGTTCTCATGGATCGACAGCGTCTGGACGAATTACCTCGCAACGTTGGGTTTGGTGATCAGTCAGCCGTGAGCATGCTTACAAGAATGAGGGAAGTTTTTGGCCAACGTCAGTTTGAGGAAGGACTTTTCAGAAAACTTTTCTTATCCAAACTGCCACAGTCAGTACAGGCTGTGCTGGTGACACTTCAGGGTGTTATTTTAGACGACTTAGCTGTTTCTGCAGATAAAATTCTAGAAATAACAAAATGGTTAGTAACCGAAATATGCTCAGTTGCCAAACATACTTCTAGTAGGGACACTGCAATGATAGAGTTATAAAACTCGAACATAAGCTGTAATCCTTCCTATCATCGTCTGAACTCCCCTCAACAGCGAAACTCACGTGGTCGGTCTAAGTTCAAGCCACCTTCACTAAAAAACCCTGACTGGTGTTGGTATCACAATACGTAAGGCCAGGAAGCGAAAATAGCAAAAGCCACTCAGAGAAATAGATTGATACTACTTGAATAACTAGAAAAGTGCCAGGAAAGATGAGCGGAACAGTCTTCAGTTTAAAACTACTGCTCCACACACCCAAACTCCATAGCAGTGGGAAATAGTACATGTCACTATTTTTTTTATTTTTTTTTATTTTGGTTACAGCTTGATGCCACACCGTATTCGCTGTACAAGTATGGAATTTTCAGCATGGATATCGGTAGCCCAAATTTTTCAGGCCGACCGTAGATATCGGTTGTGCGTCGGCAGGGGATCGAACCCCGGACCATGTGCATGGTCGGCGAGAGTCCTAACCACTGTGCCACCGACTACCTGTATAGAAGCAGTTTTTGTGCAGGATATGACGCCTGCTGGCCTTTCCATTCTCTTTCCTAAATTTTATAAGATGTTCGGATTAAAATGATAAGAAAAGTATATTGCCAAATCTACTTTAAGTGCGTCAGTGGCAAGGGGTTAGAACGCTCGCCGACCATGCATATGGTCTGGGGTTCGATCCCCGGCCGGTACACTCCTTTACCTTACTAAGCCAAAAATAAAGCTGTTGAAGAGGAAAGGTTGGGCATGAGGCTAGCAACCCCATCCTGTAAAAATAATCACCACTGCTACAAAAAATTCAAGCCACTAGCTTGAAACCCTATGTTCCACTGCGGAACGTGAAGGAATAAAAAACAATCTACTTTAAGAGTGAAACAAATTTGTAACTTACTCGAACCCATTATAGAATATACTATACAATGACCATATATTATCCAAATCATTGTCAAAAATCGAATACCATCCAAACAAAGTAGGGGATGTTCACACGGTTGACCTGATTTATTCACTACTGTGCTTGGTTTTGAGTGAAATAAATGCCATCCATTATACGGAAGAGAGTAGAGTGCAAGAAATTTAATGCCATAATTCATATTTGACAGGATTTCTATGGAGTGAAACGAAAGAATAAGATGTGATATTATTAGGACAGGCCAAAACAGTCAACGCTTCTGTAGTGAAGTAGTAGAATGTTCGTCAACCACTCACGCGGTGAGGGAATCGACCCTAGATCGACGCTCTCCTAAACCTCACTTGGCCGGCAATATAACCCTGTGAGCGTGAAGCCACGACTGCTACTGAAACTTCAGAGATCACGCTTGAAGATCTATGTTCCACTTGAAACGCAAAAGAATAAAATAAATAATACCCGGCGGGGGAGGGAGAGGTTAAACAGTTAAAAGTACTTAGCCAGTCAGAGTTTTGTTGACACTGCTTAACTAAATATGAAGCGAAATTGAAGAAAACCTTGGTATATAAATAGAATGATGCTTGTAAATAAAAACCTACCGAATATATGCAATCAAGGACTAATGCGGACAGCTTACCTACCTGTTAAGCAACATTTTGAAAAAAGTGTTCGACTCCGGTTGTTTATGACTAATTTTTGATGTTTATTTTTATTTATTTATTATTTTTGATTACAGCTTGATTCCACACCATATTTTTGGTACAGGTATGGAATTTTCAGCATGTGATATCGGTAGCCCAAATTTTGCAGGTCGACCATAGATATCAGGTGTGCTTCGGCAGGGGGTCGAACCCCGAATCATGTGCATGGTCGGCGGGAGTCCTAACCGCCGTGTTACCAACGCACAAGTGGCTCTAAAATGGGCCGGTTTCACGTTCTCTGGCTCCCAAGCCACACACCGATGATCTTAGGCCTTCACCTTATCGGTCTTCTTAGGCAGCAACACAGCCTGGGTGTTAGGCAGGACACCACCTTGGGCGATGGTAACTCCACCGAGCAGTTTGTTCAACTCCTCGTCGTTGCGGATGGGCAATTGCAAGTGACGAGGGATGATACGAGTCTTCCTGTTGTCGCGCGCGGCATTACCAGCCAATTCAAGCACTTCAGTGGCCAGGTACTGGAGAACAGCTGCCAAATAGATGGGTGCTCCAGCACCGATGCGTTCAGCATAGTTACCCTTGCGTAGAAGACGATGTACACGACCAACTGGGAACTGAAGACCAGCACGAGCAGGCTGAGTCTTTGCCTGAGCACGAGACTTTCCACCTTTGCCGCGAACACTTATGATTGTACGTTAGAGCAGAGAAACGTGTACCATTAGATTTGGTGAACAATTAATCGAAACAAAGAAAGAGTGTATTTTGAAAACTGTCGGCTTCATTTTTATCAATAGGGTATTCAGATAAGTTAACAAAAAATATATGTATTAACCACTTCAGTTCTTGTTGGCAAAAATTAACAAATCAACACATAAAGGTGAATGGCTTGACATCACGAAATCTTATCACTGCATAAAAGTCTACCATAGATTTAACCTTAAAGCCCGTCCACCTGATGCTGTCAGGCACTAATCACTATTAGTAAGCAAAACTGACACAATCTCGTGTATCAAATCGATATGACAGGAAAATAATAATAAAAAGTGCAAGGTAAAACTTCAGTTCACTTACTAAATCGGTATTTTGAATAGGATAAGCTATTCAGCTCTGGGCAAACAACATCACTTTCTCCAGTTGTATTTTCCTCATGTATACTCTCTCCGGAAGGAATCATAGATTCATTTGAAGTAGCTGGTGATTCTGAAGAGTTGACTGAGTCCACTAGTCTATTGTAGAAAATTGCGTGCGATTGATATTTCCATATACACCATATAATCAAATCGATTGTTGTTCCGCCCAGTAGGAGAACGATTACTATTATGAATATGGATCTAAACAGAGGGAAATTAGGCTTCTGATGAACTATATATATATATATATATATTAAACGAATAACTGATACTAATAGTGGGTATCTAGTTTGATGTCTGTCTGTCTGTTTTCGACATAGAACTTTGCATCGATGTGCAGCAGTTCAAGTCGCTACACTCCCTCCATGTAGCACAGAAAGCAAGAGAAGAAAGTAAAAAGAAATGCATAATAAAGACAGTAGACAGGGATATGAGACAAAAAAGGATTAGTAATAACGAAGAACAGTATAGTTTCATTGGATACCGTAAGTCACAAGGAGTGGATACATCTGCGCCAGCCATTGAGGACGATCACTTTGAGCCATGTCACCAATTGCCTCCAGTCTTCATTGGTTTTTACCGTCCCGAGGACCCCAACCGGTCAGGAAGTCTACACCTTCCTACGTGGCTGGCTAGCTAGCTTAAACTAACTGTTGGGGATTTCATTGACTGATGAGGCCATATTTTGGTTTGAACACCATTAGCTAGCTCTTTTCCAGCCTGACCCTATGTCAGCTAACATTGCCCATTGTCGAGGAAGGCTATGACTAGGCATGCATGTGTAACACATGTCCTAACCATCTCATTCAATGTAATTTCACAGTCTTGTCGACTGATTTCCCCTCCTTACCAAGCACACAACGCCTAACCTCAATATTGCTCACCCTATTATACCATCTGACACGGGAGATAGAGCGCAGGCACCTATGATCAGAGACAGCTGGCCTTTTCATATCCTTTACTCTCAATGGCCAAGTATCACAGCCATAAAGGAGGACGGAGTGGACTGCTGAGCAGTGCACACGCCCTTTGGTTAACATCCAGCCGGATATCACGTCTACGCCAGAGACGGCGTAAACTGGCATATGCGAAACGAGCCCTCTGTATCCGTGCTTAGATGTCGTCAGCGATCGACACGTTGGCTCTGGCTGATGCAGCTTCCCACTTCACTCCTTATTTCTAGACTAGGAGTCAGTGTAGTCCAGTTCTGTAACATCATCTTACATTCGTTTCATTTGAAGGTACATTTCCTTATGGACAGGCAACAAGCACTTGGAGTCTAGAAAGCACTAGATGGGATACCTATTTGTCTGCGTACTTGCATGGACCCTGTAAACCGAGTCGCGCCGTCATAATTCATCTTTTCGTACTTTGTTATATTCATTTATTCAGTGTCTTTAACATAAAACTGATAAAAACATTGAATTTTGACAAATATGAATCCCCAGAGATATGAAGAAATTTATGAAATATTAGGTCTACTGAATATTTATGAATAAACTTTTTGATTTCCTAATCCATCTAAATTCTTTCTGAAAATCAAATTTAATGCGAAATGAACAAATATAGGTACAAATAATACACCTTAAAGCAAGACATTTACTTATTGGATAAAGCTGTGTCTCTCTCTCTAATGACTTTAATTAGTCACCAATTTTTTATATCAGTATTTTTCAGTATTTCTGAAGTGTATAAAATACAGAATACTGACTATATTTCTATTTACTTCAAGTTTACGCAGTTCACTTAACTGTGAATGTTTTACAAATCCCATTTACAGACAAAATCCATATCTAAGATTCAACCTTATTTTGTAGTGACCCGTCGTGTCGTATGAAAACCACTTCAACCACCTTATGACGGACCATTCAAAGTAATAAGCAGAACAAGCAAAATCATCACTGTCGAACGCGGAGGAAAACACGAGATTGTAAGCATCGAACAACAAATTGGTGAGCCCTACGATAACTTGCTGACTCCGACGACGACGACTTTTGACCTCGACACGTTGTTACACTTGTTGGATTAATAAAACTTTAACCTTCGTGGATCTATATATTTATTACATATTCCGAACTCATTCTTGTCTTTGCTCATCGCACAACCTGCAGTAATTTGTGGTAAGCACCTGCATTGCATTTTTCTGTTTTGCCATATTCTTATTGTGCACAAATTTTGCTATTTTGTTACTCTTAAACCTTTTTTTTACGAATTGTAACATGTCTTCCAATACCTCTGATAACTTAGAGCTGGGATCTGTTAGTGCTATCTCTCTTACTGTACCAGTTTTTAAGCCTAGAGACCCTCATCTTTGGTTTGCTCGACTGGAACATTATTTGGCTAGCAATAAGCTCACGTCACAGACAGCTAAATTTGGCATTTTGAGTACAGTACTACCAGACGAAGTCGCCGAGCAGGTACGGCAATACATCGTTCATCCCAGCACAGAAGCGCCTTACGACAAGTTGAAGGAAGAGGTACTGCGATGCACTTCGCTTTCAGATAGGCAAGCATCGATCGCGTAAAACCAGCTTTCATGGAAATAGAGGTGACTGAATGTTTACCCAAGTCATCAACATCACCTAAAATTACGCCACAAAATGATTCCTGCTCTCAAGATTCAAAATCTGATGATATTCCGTCTAACAAAACAGAAAGAATCACAAGATCACGCAGACGAGTACATCGGCCACAAAGATTTGTACAGACAATTTATTTCTAATTCATTTCCACACTACCTTATTACTATACTATTAACCGTATGTTAAGATATAAATCTATTCTGTAACTCTTTACAACTACAACCTCATTATTATTCTAATAATAATTTTTCTGGTTTTATTGTTACATTTTGCACAACTTTCTAAACATTTCGGTTCGTTTCGAAGTTGTTAACATTTTTGCATATATACAGTTATATTATCAAACCTCAAAAACTTAAAATCCTCAATTCGGTTTTCATACTAGAAACTCGTATATATTTATTCTGTAATTGTAATTTACAATATTATTCCGAATACAGGTAAACTTCATTTACCTGCATTCTACGGAGGGGCTATTGTAGTGACCCATTTTATTACTCATCATCGCAGTATACTTTCACTATGTAATTGTACTTTGCTTTGTTTATTACTCTGAATCATGCATGTTAACAATTGATACTTTTTGTACTCGCTCGATTTTTGAATTTTGATTGCTGCAATAATACACTGTCGTATTCCTTCGCAAGTGCCTTTTGAATTACGTTGTGGATGTCGAGTAATCACAACGTTAGGACACAAATATAAACGCGAAGAAGTACTAAGATATACGTGTATTCTAGTTCAGTCAAAATATAGCAGCAACAATTTACCGTCTTAAAATCTCACATATATATATATATATAACTCTTTGCTTGGTTGGTTGCTTAAAAGCCAATCAATCTCGAAATATCTAGTATGAGTACATATAATCGAGCTGTTTATGTACATCAGATATATTTATTTTCTTACAAGTAATTAATTACATTTAAAGTGGTGTTCCCAATATCTTATTAACCTGTTATTAGACATTTTACTGCTTATTTCAATTCGCGCATATGATACGTTCAGCCATAAAACTCCCGAATAATACCTGCCCATCATAACTGATAAGCAAAACTTCAACTAAACTTGTGATTATCACCAACAAATGATGTCCTTCCATGCAGAAGTCAATTGGGTTATATTAATGTGACTGTTGTGAAATGTTATTTGCTAACTCTCCATACACATATATATACGGTATATCCAGCAGATATCTTGTTCAACAAAATACTTAAAAGCATAAAATCATAACTGTGAACATGGAAACTTTTATAAATATTCACTTTACACCAGGTGCAATGAAATGTTGGAAAATTCAATTCGAAATAAAAGCACCAACTCACATTGAAATCCAAAACCAACTGTCTTTGGGAACTGATCCAAATTCTTCATGACAAAAAGTTGTGGAGTTATCTAGGGATAAGTTTACTCTAGACAAAACTGGGTACATTTATTGTTTAAATTCAACAAACCCATATCAAGCAACACAACTAAATCGTTTTTGGTACATGAGGTGGGAATACACACGCCATAGTTCAGTTCTAATGTCTGTTGTGTGAACAGAGTTTAAAATCCACCTACCACTTTTTGGGGAAGAACCTCAGGTGTAGGAAGTTTGACAAATGCTGAGCAATATTTTCCTTTAACGTGATGTGATAATGCGTAACTGAAATCAGTAATATTTCGACATAATTCCATGCTTCCAAGCCAGTTAATGGCACCAGCTGCTACGGCAGGCACAATTTTTCCAGCAGCATCCAACCCTTTACAAATAAAATCAATCCGAATCGTAAACTAACATTTTATGGATTCTTCATTCAGTCGAAATATACCATATATAACAGAAGTGATATCTCTTACACATGCAGAATTATTGATCTTTAGGTACGCCTCAAGCTGCTGAGGATCTAGAGTAGGTTTAATACCAACAAACATGCTCCTCATAAGATGGGCTATATCAATAAAAGGCCTTTGAACCTTCGGATCAGAAGGATGTAACATTAATAACATAGCATTGTCGTAGGAATAAATTGGTGCATTTTCCGCTATGATGTAAGGTGGAAGAAACGTAAGATGTGAGAATGTGAGTAAAATAAGCAGCATTATGAACACGAGAACCTGTCAAAAAGCAGATTTGGTTGAAATTGGCTGTGTGTACAAAATCATTGAGCGGCGATGCACTTAAACAAAAACGCTACCCAATTTTGGTGCCCTCAAAATACATGAATAAGATTTACTTTGGCTCTTGCAGGGCATAGTATTTATTGGCGTGAAAACACTTCAGGTCATGGAAGCAGACTGAGCCACATCATCTTAATTTACCATGATCGGATTTCACTGGTCACTTACATCCAATGCGCAAACACTTAAAAGGTACTAACGATACTTAACAACACTCAGCTAGTTAGACTGCTACGAGTGTTTTCGTTTGATTCCAGAAAATAGGCATTCAGTTTGACTCCACTTGTGATGTATACTTCCAGAGTCCCTAACAAAGAATTTCCTGACTTAACTGAAAAACCAAATTTTGATTTTTCTCCTGCTTCCACTGTATCCACTTCTAGTGTTCCAGAAGTTAGCGAGAGAAATACTTCCTTCCCTTTCATGTGTCAGTTTCACTTTTCTAGCATCATTATGGCATAAAGTGCTTAACAATAATTCATACGATCTATGATCAAATTTTGACGTCATAGTTCCCAAATAATTGGTCGCCGAATGAGAAGTAAACATTCGTGAACCTCTGTTATGTTAATTTCCATGAATTTCCCTGCAGACTTTCGCACCAGTTCGCCGAACAAAACACTGGGATTGCATATTTCAATTTCGGTGAGATTTTACAAATGCTTAAAACCAAGCCTAAAGTTCTGTTACTTTGCAAACTACTATCTATCTGCTTAGGAATATATGTCAAGTAGTAGTGTCAGTTCTAGCCTGGAGTCCGGGTCATGCATGTTCTTTTAAATGTTCGGAAACCACTGATTTGTCAGATTGCTTCACATATATTAACCGTCATACATTTGATTTCTCCAAAAAATGCAACTCAGCCTTAAGTTCTTCCTCTAAGTTTCTGCCACCAGTTACACAGCAAATAAATAATAAAATAAACGTTGCAGAAGGATCACTGCAAAAGACAATTGTGATACAAACACTATCAGTCTTTCCAGAATTAACAACAATCCTATTAATGGAAAGCATTAGAATATGGTTGTTCACGGCTTCATGTAGAAAAATACTGACCAAGGTATTTCAGGTTGTACAGGAAAAGATTTTTCAAGTCATCTGTGCGTCAGAAGTACTAGGAGATTTACCTCTGAGAAACACAGATTTGTCACATTAACACTCTGATGTCTGCTTTCCCACTGAAAATCTTAGCTCAGTAAATACGAAGAAGAATAAGTTACGGAAGTTAAGCTAGCCAAAATGTGTAATGGGGAATCTGTAAGTTAGTTAGGAAACTTGTGCTATACTGAAACACTTAGCAGGTACTTCTGACTACAACAGAAAAATGACACAACCAACTTTATATAAAAATTGCTTTACCAAAAGTGACCATGAGATGCAGTGCATAAAATGATAGGCTCATCAGTATATACAGGAAGCATAGTTAACAGCAGTGCACTCATGTAGTAAGCTTATTTCTACTGGGCATGTCTTTCGTCAAGTTTATAGAGACAGAAAACTGACTGGGGTCCCCTTTGAAAACTCGATCTAGAATGTTAGTGCATTTCTGCTTTTCAAAATCTGTCCCATCCTTAGTTAAATGATACCTTGCTATACCAAGCAAACTCAACGTGCGACGAGTTAAAATTTGAAGGCTTTAAAACAGTACCAAAATAAGTCACAAGTCTTTGATAAATATACACTTACAATAACCGTTGTAGTTACCCCTCCCTGTCTACCATGCCGAAGTAACCATTTCTATTTAAACGTTTTCTTACCGTCTGCTATAACACAAAGTTTATGCAAATTCATCGGGCTTGAGCTTCAGTGTCATCACCAGCAACTTTCATAGAAATCAAGAAATAAAAAGTCATTATACTGAGGCACTATGTGAAACTTAAAGCTTATTTGTAGTTCATTTCGTTCAATTTTATGACTGCTTTTCATGTGCATTCAGGTAAAGCTCTTTTAACAAAACCTCTGAACTTCAGCTTTTCTCTTATTTACCATTAAGTACACCATTGAAATGGGAATGCATATTTAGTCTACTAGTCCATAGGCTAAGTATAGATTCCCTAACAACAACATTTAACAGAGAGGCACTTTTTAACGGATTTGTTATCAGATGACGAAAAAGTTTCAGGACATTCTGACGGTCTTCTACACTCATATTTCACTGGGATATTTGGTTATTGCCAATTCTGACATTCATCCGCATGTCAGAATTCTGACAAAACTTTAGCCCCATAAAATAAACTAATAGCTTCTGACTTGCTCAGGTTATTTGCTTACAGGAGGAAAACAAGTGGTCAAAATTGACTATTAATTTTTAAGCATTAGCAGATTAGTAGCAAGACAGTGTTCCTCATACTTTCCTACTGCTCTTATTCATAAGTGACGTAGTTATTATAGTCAATTGTGGCAAACCATACTTCTTTGTGGATGATCTAGATATAGCGTTCGGTTACCACCTAATGATGTGATTGTTATATAATAATTTATGATAATTTCTTGATCCATTTACCACTTGGCATGTTTTGGATACCCATCTCCCCTTTTGTCTCCAGATTTTGTATTCTTTTTTCAATTGATTGGTATCCGCTCTCGGTGAAGGAGGGGCGACAACATCGTGCACTCCACTATGTAGTCTTCTGTATGTTTTGAACAACCCCAGGAAAAGCTCAGGAGTGGGCGCACTTAACTGCATAGCGTAAAATGTATCTCCTGTCACGTCGTTGCCTCATCACGCGTTGAATTAAGCCTTGTGTGTGGCTTTTCTGGTTGAAATGGAACTAAGTGGCTTTCTGACGTTACACAGGGAGTAACCTACATACTGTAGTCAACGGAGGTGTAGTCTTACTACATTTCATTTTCGCAGGTTGAAAGTAATACGACTGATTACTACCCAGAGCTCTAGAATTTTAGGTTCCTCTTTGTGTTATCTGAGTCATCCAAGGGCTCTCTTGCTTCCAAAATCTTAAATTTGTCAGCGCAAAGAAAAGCCGGGCAGTTGAGACGGCACGGTAAGTGATTGATAAGAGTCAAAACGTTAATAACTCTAAGATAGATTCCTGTGATACTCTTAATGTCAATCAAAGCCAGGAGTATTGGACAATTTTGACATTGATGCAGAATTTCCCCTCGTCTAGATAGTCTTCCAACCAATGTAGAGGCGGGCCCGCCTAACTTATTCTGTGAATGAGAGGGTCATGCTATACTGTGTCAAATGCCCTCCTAAAGCCAAGGGATATCACACGGAATGAGATATATCCCAACATGCTGCCCGATCATTCCGAGCAGACTTCAGATTTGCCACGCAAGGCCTACTTCTCGCAGCTCTGCCAAGGCGTTACCTGATGTGTTCATCTTTCAAACTTTTAAGTACTTTTGATACCAGTGGGAGTAATGCGACTGGTCTGTGTCTAGTGGGATTTTTCCGGTCCCAACCCTTGTAGATGGGAAAAACGATAGCTCTCTTCCACTTCTTCAAAAGTTCTCCTAAAATCCATGGATTGTTGGAACAGGTCACATAAGGGTCGGCATAAAGCTTCAGCTTACTGTTCCAGAATAGGTGACCCAATGTCATCACAACATGGGTAATTACCAGAGGTAAGTTTCTGAAACTACTTAAGCACCATTGAAGGGTGAATTTGGAGTGTATTCGTTGGGCTGGTAAGTTGGTAATGCGGTCGTTATCTTTCAGCTGAAACCCATCCTTCTCACCTACAACGTTTACGGGATGAGAGCGTGGCAACTGCCTCTCAGCGTGATTGTTTATTTCAGCATTCTCTTTATACTATCGTTAATAAATACGTAATGAATGGCCTTGTGTGTTATATACTGTTTAATAATTGGGGCAGTTTTAAGAGAAGTCTGGCGGCGATGTTAAGTGGGCCATAATAAAGAGTTGGAAGGTAATGGCCTGGGCTTAGGTCTGGAAGAATAGACGGCCACATGATAATCATGAGTACTTCTTTCAATGGGCGCATGCTAATTAGCAGGTACTTTAGTGGTCATTACTGAGAATTGCTCTTATCTGTAAGACATTAACATGCATTTTTTGACAGCTCGAGGATTAAACATGAGGCTAGATCCTTGACAAAAGCAATAAGGGTTGTACGGATCTTATTTCTTAAAAATGCTTTCGCTCCTAACATCTGCGAGCCTGCTCAGATTCTTGTCATGATGCTACCCCATGGACCATACAGACATTCGTGAGACATCTTATGGGTTAGCATGTCCTGCGGGTCCTAATCTTCCACATCTTTGAATTCACTTCTCACTGTAATATTATTTGCATACCTCACAATAATCCTTTTGTTTATGCACTATTATGCTCTATTTTATCTTAACTACCTATGCTTTTAATTGAGTTGAAACTTACTTTTTGTTCGTATTCGTCGCTTACTTAAATTCTGGTTGCTCTGGTGGAAAAAGTACAACAACTCCAATGTTTGGAGAAAGATATATCTCCTTCGAAAACGTCATAGCTTCCATTGTGAGACCAATACGGTTATCATTATACACTGCAAATGTATACTATCATTCCAAGGGGTCTCCACCTCCTTTTAGTATATAACTTGTAAATGTACTGGCAATGATGTATTATGCATAATTGTATCTCACATTATTTTGCAGCTTTTCAGGACGTTCCCCTCTTCCTGATACATTTTTGAATATGAAAAATGAGGAGGAAGCAAAGAACATCCTGGATAAATTTAATGAGGTTCATCCTGCAATAGATTTTAATATTGAGAAAGAAAAAGACTCTAGCATTTCATTTTTAGACGTCCTTATGACCAGAAAAGAGGATGGCGTAATAAGAAGAAGTGTATATAGAAAACCTACATCATCGGGTCAGTATGCTCATTTTTCAGCTTCGTGCAGTTGAAATACAAACGCAGTCCGATAAAGTCCTTGGTTCACAGAGCAAAAGCAATCTGCTCGGACGAATGTCTTGATGAGGAACTTATTAATATTAAACGGTTGCTGAGTGAAAATAGTTATCCAGAAAAGTTTACTGATAAGAATGTG